AACGATTATGTATCTACCACGGCCCATAATTGAGGGAGCTGGGTTTGCCTCCGCGCAGAGCCTGAGCTGAATGCCTTTGGGTTAAGACCCACAGCAGAGTGGTGTGTCCCTTCGTGCATTTATTAGCCAACTGGAACAACTCCGTAACATGTCCCGATAAACAATTCAATCGTGCGCATTTCTCACTGGCATCACGACTTGTTGACTTCTTTAATAAACCCTTACTCATGAATTTTGTGTGCGAGTTCTATGTAGTTATTGCAAAGGCTATTAGAACCCTCGAGAACATTAATTGAAACAACACATCACCTTCAGCAGTGTATATATGTATATATACATATATGTACACATATATACACATATATGTATATGTATATATGTATATATACATATATGTATATATGTATATGTATATATATGTGTATATATATATGTATATGTATATAGCTCATATTTTGATATTTTTGTTTTAATAAGGGTTTCTATGATTTTGTAGCAATTATTTTAAACTTAGTGTGTATTGAATGAATGCTGAAAAGACTTCCATCCCTAAAGTAAAATGTTGAGTTTATACCTGGTAACTTAAAGTATTGGGGCAAGATAACATAATTATTTGTGGCAGAATCATGTTATGTAACAGGTTTAATTACTGGCAAGTGAGATTTTATGACAAACTTGGTGGTGAGCAAATAAACGTTGAGGGAGCTTCAAAAACATCATTTAAAAAAATGTGTCTTTTGGGTCCATATTTTCATGAACTTTTAAAAACCCCTTTTAAGTTTGCAGCCTGCTATTTATTTCCCCACACATGACAATGACCAGGGTAACAAAAATATGCTGACTACCTAGAATACTCACAATCACTCAGTGGTTCGGAAAGGACATATGTGATTCCAATGTGCTGAGTATTCAAGGAGGAAATTGCCTTCCAAAGCTCAAAGAGGTCATATGAGAATCATGAGAATGCTCTGTGTCTCCTTTGTGGTGGTGGTTACCTGCTTGTAGTGGAAAAGGAGCTTATGCTTGGTAGGGCAGAGGGGCAGCGACAAAGAGGAGTGCCCTCAACAAGATGGACTGACGTGGATGAGTGCAACAATGAGCTCAATCGGAGGAACACCTGCGAGTGTGACTCGGGACCAGGCAGGGTTTGGGTCTGTTTTACAAAGGGTCCCAGTGAGTCAGTCCTGGATGGACAACAACTCACAACAACATATGCTTGTACACATTTGTTAAAATGCATGTATTTGGAGTCAAAATGGATAGTATTTTATTTTGTTTACATGGCAATTTGACAAAGTAAAATTTCAAGGATCCTACAATGTGTTATTATTCTTCACAATAAAGCAAGAGTAAGAATTAAAGAAGTTAAGTCATTTACCTAAAGCATACATTTCAAATTCGAGAAACAGATTCAAAGTCATCTGTACCATATTGTCATTGCAGTATAGTGTCTCCCCAAGAGGCAGTTGTTTGTCATTAGTTCTTTCTTTCCTTTTTTCTTGCTTCAGGCCAGAGACTTCTTAGCATAGTCCCCAAATTGACAAGCTGTGTTTTATTCCATTACTTATAAATATTGAGAGGCACACAATCCCAAAGTTTCATTTAAATATATATCCAACAACAACACATGATAATATGGATGGGATTCTAAGAAGTATAGTCCTCCCCACATCCCTACCTGCATGAAGTCAGATCATGACACCACCAAGGTTTGCCCTCTCTGCGTGGACATGCACATCAAAAACATAGAAAGGGACTTTGGTTTTCAATCACAGCAGATTAGCACTGATAGTTAACAAACCTCCCCACTGAACACACCTGTAACACTGGACTAAATACATGGGCAACCGTTTTCAGAAATCAATTTACACATAACAGGACTAAGCTGCCTTAGATAAGGCAACAAACTGTAGCACATTTAGTGAGGAGCAGCTGTTAGGGCATTGAGATAAGAGATGGGACGCAAGGTTTACTCAATGCTGTGAGATACCATAAATGCAGAACAAGTGGGGAGACATTATTAATATCCTGAACATCTGTTGAAGACACCATTAAATTCACACTCCCAGAATAAGGGGGGGCTCATGGTACACCCTAGCAACATTTAAAACCTCGCCTCCACAGGATCAAAAAGAGATACATGAACAAAATATCTACCCTCCAAATCTGCTACACATGTTACAATAAGGCAACATAATTCCAGATATGCTACTTCTTATTATCTATAATTATCAGGAAATAATAGCAACAATTAAATTAAACAGACTATGGGCCATAAGCAAAAAGAATATGGACAATAGAAACACAGGAAGGATGATCCATATATAGAGATTAACAGAATACAGGCTTCAAAGCACTTATTATAAATTTGTTCAAGGACATTAAGGAAACATAATCCTGATGGTTGAAGAGATGAATAATCTCAGGATACAAGTGGAGACTATAAGAAAGGAACTGCTGAAAATTCTAGAAGAAGAAAACACATATATAGATTCAGAAATGAAGAGAAAATAACGACAGTGTTAGGTTTTAACCCCCTTGACAAATGTTAGAACAAGTCGAGTAGAAATCAATAAGAATATAAAAGATCTGCACAGTATTATTGAACTTTACTTAATTGACATTTACAGACCTCCAATAGTAGAACGAACATTTCTTTCAAGAATACATAAAATGCAAACCAATGAAGCCATATACTGAGTCTTACAACTAGTCTTAATAATTGTTAAAGATAAAAATCATAAGGAGTATGTTATCTGATAACCCAAAACAAAACACAACTCACCGCCATTGAGTTGAATAAGACTCATAGCAACACATAGGACAAGGTACAACTGACCCTGTGGGTTTCGGAGACTATTAGTCATTGCAGGATTAGACAGTCTCATCTATATCCCAAGGAGAAGCTGTTGCGTTCGAACTGCTGATCTTGTGGTTAGTAGCCCAACATATAAGCATTAGGCCATCAGGGCTCCTATCTCTGACAACAGTGACACTACATTACAAGTAAAAAATAATAAATATCTATAAAATCATCAGACATTTGGTGACTAAATACACTTGTCTAAAGAAACCATACATAAAGATAAATTCACTAGGGGAATAAGGAAGTCTTGCAAAGTGAATGATAAAAAACATGATCTGAGTAGGGGATTGCAACAGATGTAGAGGGAAATGCCTAGTTTCAGGCACACAGAAGTAAAATAATGCCACAGGGAATATATTTTCCCTGCAGCTCGTGGATCCGGAGCTACAGATTCCAATCTAAGAAGAGGATGGCCATTCACCCATTCTTCCCACTGCCATCTCCTCTAGTACACAAAGTGATATGAAATAAGAAATCATGCGCATGCCTCAGTTTCTGTTCTTACTCAGGAAATCAAGGGAGTAACACATGATCATATGCTTCCTAAAGATCTTTCCAAGACATGCACTGATGAAACTGAGAAAAGACTCAATTCAATCTCTATGATGAGAGCACATTTAGCCTGTTGTATTGGTAACCAGTGTACATCAGGTTCTCAGGACATAGCATTTGGGATAAGTGATATCCAATGTTGTTTCTCAAGCTTTAATGTGCTTACAATTCACCTGGAGAATTGGCTAAAAGACAGTTTGGATGCAGATCTGAGGTTCAGTATAGGGTTTTATATATCTAACAAGTTCTGAGGTAACTATGATGATGGTGTTCTTTGGACCACACCTTAAGGAATAAGAGCAGAGAGTAATAAATGCACCTCATTTCCTCCCGCTTATGAGTGTCTCACCGGAGGTAATGAAACCTATCCATTGAGAACACTAAAGTTAGTTTCAAAATGTGAAGGCATTTTAGCCAACCTTTTAGAGTCATGGTTTATTGGCCAGTGGAGGCATTGCCATCTTAGTGACCATATTTCTTCTGAGGACATTCTTCAAGGCCTGCTTTACATCTTTGTTCCGAAGACTGTAGATCAACGGATTAAGGACCGGACTTACAAAGGTGTAGAAGACAGCTATTACTTTCGATTCCTCAACAGTCTCATCTGTTGGTGGTCTTACATACATGCAGAAGAGACTCCCATAAAAGAGGGTGACAGCCATCATATGGGAGCCACAGGTGGAGAATGCTTTGTGTCTGCCCTCTGCTGACTTGATCCGGAGGATGGCAGCGATAATGAAGGCATAGGACACCAGGATGATGGTGAGGGAGCTGGAGAGGTTGAAGCCAGCTGAGATCAGCATGGCATGTTCTTTGATGTAAGTATCAGAGCAAGAGAGCTTTATGAGTGGTGGGTCAGCACAGTAGAAATGGTTAATGATATTGGACCTACAGAAGGTCAAGCGAAAGGTTAGAATGGCCTGTAACAGACCATCTGAGAAGCCATAGACATAAGGGAAAGTGGCCAAAGAGATGCAGACTTTCCTGGACATTTTCACAGTATAGTGCAGAGGGTTGCAGATGGCCATGTAGCGGTCATAGGCCATTGCTGCCAGCATGTAAAATTCAGTGAGGAGAAGAGCAATGAAAATGTAACACTGTGTGAAGCAGCCAGCAAAGGAAATGGTCTTCTTCTCTGATAAGAAATTAGTGAGCAACTGTGGGGTCGCATTTGTGGTGTAGCACAAATCCACAAAGGCCAAGTTAGTGAGGAAGAAGTACATGGGGGTGTGAAGGCGAGTGTTCAGTCTGATTAATATGATCATGCCCAGGTTGCCTATGAGGGTGACAAGATAAACCACCAGGAATAGCACAAAGAGGAGAGGCTGGAGTTCTGGGCGATCTGTGAGTCCCTGGAGAATGAATTCTGTGATCACACTGCCATTCTTAATGGGCATTTCCTGATAATATGTACCTGCTCCTAAAAAAGAAAGAAAGCAGGAATAAAATGACAAAACTTATTGAAGTCAATATTTTTTCTCTGGATCTCTTTGGGTCTTCCAAATTTGCTTTTCTGAATAAGCACATATTCAATGTCATACATCTACTAACCCATCATTTCAGGGGTTTGTATTAAACCATGCATATCTTTCTATCTTTATATACATATGGCTTTATCTATATCGATATCTATATCTATTTCTTTACTTCCAGTTGTAAAATCCAGTCAATGCACCTCATGTTCACTCACTGCCTGTCTGTCAGTGAAAGTTTGTGTATTGCTACAATGCTAAATATATTTCAATGGAAAAACAATCTGGTGGTCCACTTCTGAAAATCCAGCATACTAACAGAGTAAAATAGGGAAAAGGAGCTTAGAATGTGGGTTTTCAGATTCAAAAGAATTAGGAAGATGAGGGGGAAAGAACAGCGGAGGGAGAGGAGGAAGAAAGGATAAGACGTTTCACCGAGTGAGTGCTTACTGACTGGAAGATTCATTAGTTGTATGTCACTTTATAAGCTGGGGAGTAAATAATGAAGACAGTAGCGGGGAGGGAGCACTAGAACTGTTTGTGATTGCACAACTCATTGTAAAGGTCATTTAACCATGGGGGAGGGGGCTGGCTCAAGATTGATGTGGTGATGACTGTACAATCCACCTTGATATGATTGAAAGATTGAACTATTGAATTGTATGGTATGTAATTTATGTGCCAATAAAACTGTGGGGGTGGGGTGGGAAATAACCTAATGACCTGTCGGATCTGAAGCATGCAGACTCACAAGCTTAGTGACCATAATGACACTCAGGACTGTCCAGTTGGACACCAATAAGTGGTTGCTGACAAAGAAGCACCAATAAGTGGTTGCTGACAAAGAAAACTTACCGACAGTTGCAGTTGATCCAGTTGCATTTGTTAGCTCAGAAAAAGGAAAGAGCCCTCTAGACAGGAAACTTTACGTGGATTAGATATCTACTGATGGTTAAAAACATGCTGAGGAATAGTTTCAGGACAAGAGAAATCTAAGGGTTGCAGCCCCGGGAACCGGTAGTAGCTGCACAAACTATAGGACACAGAACAAAACAATAATTGAGATACTTGCTCAGAAACAAACAAGAATTCAGAGACGTTACAACAGAGCATTAACTAAGACATATTCAGGACCCTTTGACACAGCACAGTTCATACACTCATTAAGCAAGACATGCCTGGATCCAAAGATTCCTTTAAAGGTGACAATATGAATGAAGAGGTGCCAACGGTGTTGAAGGAAAAATATTCAGCCTCACCCCAAGAGACAACAACAAAGAACAGAGAAACAGTGCCTAAAGACAAGGTTTCAGCCCAACAAAGAAGTGCTATAAGGATAAGCTATCTCAGAAGGAAAGCTGGCTGGACAAATTTTGTAGCCCATGAAATTGTACATGAATAAGAATCATATACATACATACAATCAAAAAGGAGTTAAAAGTAAAGAAAACCTTTTAACAATAATTAACTATAAAAATCACTCTTTCTTTTGCTTTTTACATAAACCCCTTGAAAAACTCCAATAATGTAATGGAAACTTAAATCCTCAACCAAAATATAAGTACATACATAAAATAATACAAGAAACACAAGAGGTCCAGGTGTCACATGGACTTAAGTGGGAGAATTTTTGTATTAGAAAAATCCCTAATTCTGTGCCTGGATATGTTCTTATACTTGTGTGTGATTAAGAGTCTTTCTCTCCCTCAGTGTCCTGTGTTCATTGAGAGTCCTGTAGATATTGCGCTTCAATGGTATGTTGCCAGAACTCCTTTTGAGATCGGTATTGTTGTTTTGTGCTCTGAGAGCCCTAGTGTTGTAGTGGATTACAGTGGGCAGCAGTTCAAAACCACCACTCGGGTAAAGAGTTCCCATCTTGGAAATCCACAGATTTCCAGGGCAGTGCTGTTCGTCCTATAGGTTGTTGTTATTCAGAAATGAGCAATGGCAGGGAGTCTGAATTGCTTTCAAGTGCCTTTGAACTTACAATGACTTGGGAGGATAAAGTAGAATCTTCCTACAAGGAGTTCTAGGCCAAAATTTTTACAAGAACCGATCCTCAGGCTTTTCTCCTCTGGATTAGCTGGTGAGTTTGAACCGCTGACCTTTCAGTTAGCAGCTGAGAATTTGAACCACTGGATCACAAGAGAACAGGAGAGGCATAATATGCCCTCACTTTTTAAGAGGCAACCCTTCAGTAGAATTAAACATCCTGAGAAATAAGTCACTCTTTAAACTGTGAGAGGAGAGTGCAGTTTTTCAGAAAAGAGAGAGAGAAATAGATTTCCATTTGACCTTAGGAGCATATCAAGGTCTATGCTGTTGGAAATCACAGATAAAATTGACTTCTCTTCTCATGTATTTTCAAATTTATTTTCTTGATTGAGGAAGTAGAATATATGGAGCTACTTCCATCTCCTTCCCCATGCTCCCTCCTCTTTGCCCCTTCAATGAATATTTAGAAATCTTGTCTAACAGTGTCCTAAAAATGTTGGGGGATGAAATGAGTGAAATGCAAGTTAGAAGGTTCTTAGAAACACATAGGTAAGAACATAGCATCAATTTCTTAGGAAAGAAGAGCAAAAGGCACAGATGCTGCTCATGCTGAAGATGAGATCATTGGCAGCATGAAGTCTTGTTGAACCTTGTCACATGCAGCCCTCAGATGGGTCATTTGGCTGTAACAATAATAAGACATAGCTCTTATCAGCAGCACAGTCCTTATGATCAGATGTGCATTGCCAGTGGGGAACCATCCGAGTAATTCCCATGGACAGAGCTTTCTCTCTGTGCTCAGAGAATTCTCTCAGAAGAATTCTCTTATAGTGTGGGTCGAATTCTAGAAGCTATACCCAACTCTATCAACAGCCTTCTCTGGGTAAAGATGGGTAACAGTTTGCCCAGTTACAAAGTCTGTCAAATACTTGAGTAAAATTAGAACATGCCAGGCTCTCCTGATATAAAATTCATGAAGTCAAAGTAATCAATGTTTTAGCATTTAGAAGATGAGCATCTCGTAAATATAATTCCAAACCATGATTCTAATTCTGGCTCCACCAGTTATGAACTTGGTAATCTTGGCAAAGTATTTAACCTGTCTGGTCTGTTTTCTCTGCTGTAAAGTAGGAAATAGGGCTGAAATGAAGAAGAAAGTAAGGCTCTTAAAAAGCTTTGCATAAAGTAAGTACATGATGCCTGTTCAAAAATAAAGTGAGTGCTTTTCCAGCGATGACTATATTTCCTCAATTTCCTTGCCCACAGCAAACTGAGAGAAAACTTGTACAGAAAAAAATTCAAAATTATATGCCCCACTGATTGCAAAGCCCAAGAAACCCTGAAGTTTGTAGGTGGAAGAATGCATGTAATTTGTGGACCTTTGGGTAAGACTGTAATAGTTTCCTCTTGGTTAAAAATAAACACCATGAAGACACAAAGACTTACTTCTGATTATGAAAGACACTGATGTTCCCAACCTTTCAATTAAGTCCTCTGATGTTAGAGCTGCAAAATGAAGTCATATTTATAGCCGAATATGGGAAGCGGGCCGTGTTTAGGAAAAGGAATCTCAGAAGAGAGCCGCAGCCATGAGTATTACATTACGACTTGACTCTCTAGGGATTAATTGTGGAAGCAGGAGGATAATCATATACCTTGGTCACATTTCCTATCATTTCAAATTTACCAGTGCTTATTTCAAATTTACCAGTGCTATCTTACCAGCTCAATGCCAGATATGCCAGACATTTTGACCGCGGTTTGATATTTACACTTTTCCTTTGTTAAAATCCAAGCTCTTAATGATGTGTTCTATGTGAATTAGACATTTTGAGCACGGTCAGCCATAGCAGATTTGTTCAACAGACTGTTATTCAGGAAATAACTTGCCAAAAACTTCTAATGTGCCAAGCACTTTCAAAGATGTGGCTTAATTGATTGTGCAAAGTAATCCTTTGAGACGGGCACTCTATTTCATAGCATTTAGCTAAAGGAAAGGGATGATGGCAGACTAGCTCACCCAGGTTTCCGGGTGAAGCAAAAATAAACATGGTTAGTGGTTTGTATCCTACTTGAGGGACTTTAGAAGAAAGGCCTGGGGATTTCCTACCCCAAACTAGACATAAAAAACCCTGTTAGCTGCAGAAGGACCCAATATGGTGGATTAGGTAGACAAACTATCTACATCCTCTACAACAAAGATCCAACAAGCAAGTGAAACAATTAAGGATGACAATCCTAAATCCTGACCTCAAAGGAAAGGAAAGAGCAGTAGATCCAAAGCTGATTAGAAGAAAAAATTAAAAGTAAAGAGAAAACAAGGTGACATGTTTTGTTGTCATTGCTGTTGTTGTTAGGTGTCATCCAGTTGGTTTAGGCACATTCACAACAGATCGAAAGACTGACATACCCACAATTGTTCCTACATTTGAACTCATTGTTGCAGCCACTGTCTCAATCCATCTCCTGGAGGGCTGTTCTCTTTGTGCTGCCCTTCTACTTTATTACGCATGATGTCCTTCTCCAGGGACTGGTCTCTCCTGAAAATATATCCTTAGTACATGAGACAAAAACTCCTCATCCTTGCTTCCAAAGAGGATTCTGGCTGCACTTCTTCAAAAACAGATTTGTTCCTTTGACAGCCCATGTTACTTTCAATATTCTTCGCCAGCACCATAACCCCAATACATTGATTCTTCTATGGCATTCCTTATTCAATGTCCAACTTTCACAGACATATGAGGCTTGGAGCAGGCACACTTTGGTTGTCAATGGAACATCTTTTCTTTTCAAAATTATAAAGAGGTCCCATGCAGAGCCTTCCCCAATGTTCTAGATCATTTGATCACTTAACTGCTGCTTCCATGAGCAATGGTTATGGATCCAAGCAAGAGAGAATCCTTGACAACTTCAATCTTTTTTCAGTTTAT